TCTATCTCTGTAGATAGAATAAAGAGTTTAATTGAAATTCACAGAAGTTTATGCAGATTCAGAGACACCTGAAGAAAGCTAAAGATCATCATGGCTGAAATATTGTAAGAGTAACAATAAAAATCAGGACATTAGACTAACTGGAAAGTAAATTCTAAGTATATTTTTTAAATTACTTTCATTGTAAGTTTTAAGATATATATATATATATATGTATATTGTCATCCACAGATAGACTGTTTCACTGTATCACAGCTCATCAGCATGACTAGACATCCAATTGTCTCAAGCTGGGATCAAAACCTGACTGATTTGGCATCAGTCTGAGATTTTACCTCTGAGCTATCAGTGCCGGGTTGAGAGGAAGGCTAATCATTACATACTTATTCTTTAAACAAATATGCCAATGACTGAGAGGGCTCAATTCTTGGAAGAGCTTTGCAGTATTATCAATAGTAGTCATTGTTTACAAACTCGCACTTTCTCTCAAGAGTGGTTGACTGGAATTAAATTTTCTGGGGGTGTATATATTGTCATCCACAGAAAACTGTTTCGCTGTATGACAGCTCATCAGTCTGGTAGACATGCGATTGCCTCAAACTGGGATCTCATATATATATATATATATATATATTGAGAGAGAGAGATAAAGTGTGGCACAGAAGATACTTTGCTTAAACTCAAATTTCATATACATTTTAGTTTTAATTTTTTAAATGAATAAAAAAAAAATATTTATTTATTAACTGTTTTATTTTCTAATATTATGGTTAAGTAACTTTTGGACCACCTGTGTGTGTGTTTTATACATATAGATATATGGGAATATAAAAGTGGACATTGAATCAACACACAGAGGTGACATCTATCTCATTCTAAATTCAATCATCAGAACAGGTGTGTGTATAAATACATACATATAAATAACAACATAACATTTAAAACATGAGAAAAAATAATAACACCAGAGACCTTTGAACATGGCTATAGAAGTGGCCAAATGCATTTGAGATAACAAAAATTATGGAAACTTTTTTTTACTCCCTGACTCCTACCAAACAGAAAAACATAATAAAAAATTAATGAAATCTTCTTTGTCAGACATATTTATTGAAAGCAAGAAACAGCCTGTTGCCTCTAAGTGTTGACTTCAATGTTCACTTTTTATATATATATATATATATATATATATATATATATATATATATACACTCTATCCTTGATATAGAGCACTTACCTTATAAATGTAAAATTTTCTATTTATTTTAATCCAATTATTCAGCAACAATTTTACCAAATCAGTCCATAATATAAAGAAAAGTAGAGAAAGAATAAGCCTACAAACAAAACAAGACACTACAGTAAAATTATTTTGTGTATTAATTCAAATACCATTGGAAAAATGAACAATCTGACAACCATATATATATATATATATATATATATATATATATATATAAAATACATAAAAGGTTAATGGTCAAAGTTGAAACAGGTCAGGAAACAGTAGTATTAAAAAGTGCTCAATACATGTGTGAAAAAACAAAAGTAAAAATGTGTAGAGTTTTTTAACTTTAAAAATCAGGAGGTCAGTTGAATCTGTTATCTTGGTTTCAACCTTAGGTATCCTCAGACAACTTGAAACCAAGGTAACGGATTCAACTGATCTCCTGATTTTTATATATATATATATATATATATATATATATATATATATATATATATATATATATATATGTGTGTACACACACACAGAGAAATTGAGAGATGAAAGAAAGTAATTAAACCTGTAAGTGGTACTGCTATGCAACATCAAAGAAACTTACTAACAATGCAATGGATTTGTGACTATCATTTTATGAAAAAAAAGAGAGTAGCTCCAAAGTTGTTGTTCAGTAGTTATAGGCATTATTTCATTGTTTTACCCATAATATTACACAATAATACCTTATTTACTTTCAGTGTTTGAAATCATTCTGAACAAAATTAAGATTTCATTCAAAACAGATTTTTGCATAAAAAATGAGCCTTTTAATAAAAACTGAATATGAATGCACAACTGAAATAAAAAAGGAGTAAAGAGATTTTATTGTTACTACTATCAATGATAAAGTAAACGTTAAACACTTAAAATGCTGTAATGTAATGCTCAACTATCTCATTCAGGCAATGTCAGGTGATTTGGGAATAAAAAGTTACTGTAAAAATATCTTGTATGAGAGTCACGACAGGTTTTTAGCCTTTTTTAAGCAGACGCAAAAGTATCTTTTACATTCTTAACATGTTACCATTCCAATTGTTGAACTTGATAAATTTTTGGCATTGAGTGGGGGGGGGGAGATATTTTGTAAATGAACACATGATTGAAAATATGAAAGATTTTTACAAAACAGATTTCTAACTTTTGGTAGAGATATTTTCACAGAAGGCAACAGAGGAAACTTGTTCCTTTTTTCCCCAGTAAGATGAAATTCAAATCTTTTATTATGCATTAAAAAAAAAAAAAAGGTCTTATGAAAGTCTACAAATATAACAGATGAATATGAAGAGGCAAGTTATATGAGAAAAATGTGTGGGTTGATTCTAAAAAATTCTTTTGCCTCATATCTTATTTTTTCTTCATTTTATTCTATATATATATATATATATATATATATATACACTGTATTAGTTGGAGATACTAGATAGTGTTCAGTTGTTAATGAAAACAGACTTGTGTCTGCATATTTCTTTGAAATTATCCAGCTTTGTGTTTTTGTGTAATATAGGCTTAGTCCAGGCATTGCTACCAATTTTTTTAATTTTATTTTTCTCTAGAAATGTGATTGGCTATTTTACAGTCAGTAGCTGTGTATGTAACTGAAACAGATATTTATTTTCTGAGTGTTTAGAGAAGTTTTGGTTAGTTTATATACAATGAGTCAATAATACTTTTTTAGACCAAAAGAAGTCTCAAAATTTGCTCAAGACAAAGATATATACAAAAATAAATGCATATAAAATAGCAAATAGTTTATATCAAATGAAAAGCAATAATTTTCATGTCTAATATGAATAAATAGAAATTCAAAAGTAGAAACTTAAAAATTTCTTGTTAAACATTTTAATTAGTTTCAACAATTTTTGTAAGAAATCTGTTTTACATTAATTTTGTTATGACAGTTTGACAATCTACCAATAGAAGACTATAATTCCTTCCTGAGGCCAGTAGACTAATGATGGTGGGCATGCTGATGATATAGATATTCATAGCTAGGATGAGAATACTACTACCAAAAACTCCAAGAAATAGGACTCAAGATAAGTTTCCAAAACAGAAAGTATGATCTAGAATTAGAATGAAAGTTGTGATGGCACCAACCATGAATTCATCATAAGAGTTCTGGATGTGGAATTAGTAAAATACCTCAGTGTATGAATTTAGTATGAGATAAAGAAATTGAACATAGAATAGACTGCACTAGAGGTAGTTTCACTCAACACTGCAAATTGCTACAAAACTAAAACATTAGCCTAAAATCTTGAGTGATGTTCTCATATAGCCTTGTCAGATTGAGATTTTTTTTAATATGAATGTCATGAAAGAAGCAAAATTAGTACAGAAATATATAAAATGCCAGCTGTATATGACTGCTTTTTGAGACCAATGGTTAAAAATAGCTTTGAGTCAGTGAAGCCTGTGTATCTTGGTGAAGGCCTTACTTCCTCAAACCTTGTGGACAGTGGTGCTACAGAATCAAAAACAAAGAACTGTATTAAATAATAGAAACCATATCACTTGAGGACTTTCAACAGCAGCAACAGCATAAAATGTGATGTTATAAAAAGAAAACAATGGCGCAATCAATATATTGACATTCCACACTACTTCATATAAAAGATTAGGAAGGAAACTTCCATCAATACTGGAAAGAGAAATAACAGCTACTGGACTTGTGAAATATATTTTCCTGAAAACTTGTTTTAAGATTTTATAAATTTCAACTGAATGTTGTACTGGCTGCTCAAACAATGAATGCTAAATTTTTCCTTATAATGAAATGACTAAAATTATCATTACCATTAGCATTTTGAAGTTGTCTTTTATGTGCCATTTCTCTTCATGGAGTGTTTGTTCATGTTTCTCCACAACTTCTTATCCTTGATAACTTTTAAGTTATGCTTGTTCACTTACTGTCCTTCCTAATTACTGTTCTTCCATCCATTTATGATGGGTTACTCAATGCTTCTGTTATTCCAGCCTTGAGTATATTCTGTGAACATTAAATTCTCTAAGCCCCCTTTCATTGCATTCCAGAAATTTCAATTGTCTCTTTCTGATTCAAAGTACAAGTATTCATTTTGCTTCCATTTTCCTTAAAACTTCCTTGTTGCTCACATTCTTTGTCTATGGTATTCTCAGTGTCCTATGGAACCACAATACTGTTGCCTTCACTCTTTTCTGCCTCTGTGAGGAAATTGCTCACTATTCACTGCCATACAAGTGGATTGATATTATACACCATTTCACTGTTCTTTTCTTTGGAAACAAATTTTTCTATTTTCTTAATACTTTGGTTAGCTTCTGGAAGGCATTTTTTGCTATTCCGATGCTTCATTCGATGTGTGTATTATATTTTCTATTCTCTGTTAACACTTCTCAGTTAAATTTCTGTACATGCTCAATTCCAAGATTTTCAATTTGAAGCATACATATTGGGATATTCCTCTTGCTCATGACTATACAATCTGTCTTCTTTACAAGTTAGGCTTACTTCTTTCTTACTGCTTTTCTTTTCTTTTATTGAAGGGTTTGTGCCATTTTCTTTTGTTGGTGCTATCTGTTTATTGTGTGTTGTTATGAGTGTACTCACTGATAGTAAATCCTGGGAGGACTTCTAATTCTCTTAGGATGACTTTGCTGAATAGGTTGAATAAATGTGGTGAGAAGATGCCTCCTTGTTTTAGAACTCTTTCTATTTTTGTGTACTTACTCAATTGCTTTTCCATATGTATGTGGCTTATGGCCATATCACATTGAAACACTGGTTCTAGTCCAACCACTAAGGGTAAGCAATTTTGAGCCTGATCAGTACCTAGATGGGTGACCACTTGGGAATACCAGGTGCTTTAAGCTTGGATATTTAAGGTGTGTAATGGATAATGGCTTAGAATGAGAAATAAGAGAGCCAGTTTTGAATTCCAGTCAATTTCATTTTATTTATTCATGTCCAATATCCTTGGGAAAGGTAGAAATCCATTTAACTAGACTTTATGAATTTAAGTGCAGTATAAGATTGGCAGTAAGATCTCATCATTTTACAGTTGAAATTCTGAGATGTAATCATAAGTTCTATACTAACAGTTTCTTCTATTGTACTATGGAATTCTCTTCTGAGTTCTTGCTTCCTAGTAAACTTTGATCTTCAAAAATTTATATGTAATTTCAATTGTTATCTTCTGTCTGCTTAATTCTTGTTCGTTTATTGTTCTGTCTCCTTAATAGTAGTTTTTTCTCATATTCATTAACACTCAGTAACCCCTTGCATCCTAGTGCCTTCATAGCCTTGCTTGCAGTGAAATGATTGAAAAATCTCCTTCATCCCAGCTATGGATTAAATAGTAGAATAGTCTTGGATCTTCAGCCTTGGAGAGTAGAATTCCAATTCCAGCCAGGTTCATTTATCATATTATTTATATTTGTGAAAATACTATTGGAAAAGGTATTAATCCATCACCCCACCACACACCAGCTATATAATAGGACCTGTATCAGCAGAATCACTATCTCCCCAAAATATTTACAGTCAAAAATATTTCCTGGCTTTAAATCACCTTCAAAAGGTTGTTAAGCTGTACAAAAACAAATCAAACCACCTATCTGTATGCAGACAGTTTCTTCCTACTAATTGTCATGAATTATTCTAAGATAAATCGTGTTGTACCTTATCACATACATCATGTTTTTTTTAAGTACTAGGTTGAAATGTATGTATGAATGTAATACTTATATACAAATATATATATATATAAAATATTACAAATTCAAATAGGAGATAGTAAAAAAATTTTTGTATGGTCATAAGTTAATGTATATTTCATTGATTGTTAAATAAATAAAACTGACTTCATTGGTGACATTTTATTGATTTTTATATGTAATGAAATAATTTTCTACTTTCTTCAACTCAATTTTAACTCTTTTATTATGCATGACTATTTTTAGTATATTATATTATATATAATTATTATCACAATAATAAGATGAACTGATTTCTTTGATTTATATTAAATCATCTGCAAAGTAACACAAACACTTTGTCTGAATAAAAACGACGACCAACTGTTACATACTAAAGTGCTGTCAAATTAAACTTTCAATGAAAGTAATGTCCTACTGACTCTTCCATTGAGACACTCTCACACAAAAGTCTAAGATGATAGCTTCTATATGCAAAATGATAATTGAACAGTAGACTCACACAAAATGTGCATGCAAGTCTTCTATAGATGTAAACATTTTGTCAGGAAAATTCCTCCCCACCTCACCTTTGGTCTGTAGGCTTCTTTTTGATCCTTGACTGTGTGTGTTTAATGCATACAATATACCTGTTTTTATAGGCTCTGCTTGCCACAATTTTATTTCAGGTGTACATGTTCAAAGACAAATTAATGTGATCATAATCTTAGAAATGTAAGTTTGGTTAGTGAGGATTGAATGGAAACTTCCGATTTTTTAAAGAATTACAGAAGATGGTGTTTCTTCTTTTCATACTATAGACAGTATAAATTGGCCTCAAAGAATATGAAAACAAATGTACATGAGTGGGAACAACAATCCACTTGGAACAATGCAGATACTATTAGGTTGAGTCTAAGTAATTTCCGTTTTTGGCAATCATATATAACAGGTGATGGAAAATGGGTTACATATGACAATCTTTAATGCCTAAGCAGTAGGTTAACAAAGATAAATCTCCACAATTTTCCCCAAAAGATGAGCTCCATCAAAGTAATGTGGTGGAGTTGTTGGGGCGTTATTCATTTAAAGTTTTTAAATGCAATAAGACACTAAATGCACTTTTATACATCAAACAGCTGCAACAGGTTGATGAAGGTTACATCAAAAAGTACCCTGAACTCATCAAAGGTAAAATGTTGTTCATCCTCAAGACAATACAAAGCTGTATGCAGTAAGAATAACACAGGAAAAATGACTTTGCACCAAGCAATTATTAATTTTTTGATTGCTACAAAACACTTTGGTGGGGAAAACTGTCTTTAATGACAACCAGATTGAAAAGCTTCTTGAAAGCATTTTCACATCAAAATCTACAGAATCTTTACTGAAAAGGTACAAGGTACTGCCTGATAAGTGTCAAAAAGTCATTGTAAATAATGGTGAATATATAAGTGAATAAAATGAAACTGTACTATATTTATTTTTTAAATGTGAAATGGATAAACAATAACAGATATTATCTATGTCCCAATATAAGCATAAATATATTCTTGAGCAGTGAAAAATAAGAATCAGGTGAAACACTCAATGCTGTTTGGAAGAGAAGACCTACTTATAATAGTTAAAGATAGGTAGACTGTTAAATCATGAATAAAGCCATTCCAGTAGGCTGCTGGTTGAAACTGTAATAGATTAAGGTTGGAGGGTTGATTTTGATTAGTGGTATATCAACTTCTATGGATTATTTAATGCCAACATCTAAATAGTTTGTACATAATTTTATAATTTCAGAGTTAAAGTATGTTTTTAGATATATAGTTTGTACATCATAAAATATAATGTTGGAAATTTTACTATAAAAATATATTTTTAGTGTTGCATTGATTGTTATTTTGCTATAAAAATGTATTATTGCTCATTTTATTATGGAACTGTACTGCTGATTTTTCTGTTTGGGAGTTCATTATTTGCCCCTAGCTGGGACCCTAACAGGTGCTACCACTCCTGGTCAGGGTGGACTTTGGAATGACAGAAGATAAGAAGCGGTTACACACATCTTAAAAACACTAATCTCTTGATCAGAGGACTTTCTACCAGATGTAGTTTATCATCATACCCATGATGCAGAACAGATTAAGAAAAATTATTTCCTGAGTTTTAAAAGTTGTGAATTCATCAAATAAGATAATCTTAATTAATGCTATTTCTATAACATAATTTTTCATATTCTTTGGAGCACTCTGAAGGTTCTCCAAATTCCTTTTTTAATCATTCCAGACCCCAGACCTGTTGATGTTACTGAGAATGCTGAGCATAAATTTGTGGAGACTTGTCAGTTAATTCTCACTGATATCCACCAAAATCTTGAACGAATATACTAATAATAATATGGTTCAGATAAATGCTATAATTTGGACTTAGACTAAATTCATAAAAAATATACAGGAAATATTACCAAAACAAGAGCAATACCAGTTATCATGGGAGCACTTGAAACTATCAAGGTAGAACTTGGTAACCATCTTAAACAGGTCATGGACAGATCATACATAAGAAAACTATGAAGGTTTTGGCTTTTAGGAAAAGAGCATAGTGGATTATAATATTGGTTTGTAAATTTGGTAGCATAATGATTGTTAGTTCAGTTCATGGACAGGGTAAGTACAAACTCAGAGTGGAAACAGGGTCAGCAATAACTGAACAGTATTAAAAAGTACAAGTGAGATATCCCAAGACATGCATAGTTGAATGACAAAAATTTACCTTTTTAGGTTAAATAAAGAGGTCAGCCTGAAATTTTCTTGAAACTGACAGATACCTGAAGAATGCCAGTGGACACAACAGCTGAAATGTTGTGATAATAACAAACATAAATACATTATTTGAAATGAAAATAATAATTATTCATTTTAAAAATCCATAGAATAAGCCTAAAGAAATTGCTGATGTAAAATTAAACAAAGCTTTCAAGTTAAGATTTAGTCACTTTGTACAATCTGGCACTGAACTTGCAACATATTGATTAACAAGAATGATAAGTATCATAATCAAAAGTCATGGCATTGGTATAATAATAGAACACTTTTAGTAGTGGATTTCTTTTTAATCATTTCACCCCAAGCAAGGCAATAAAGCCACTAAGAGGTGGTGGAATGAATGTTAGAGAATATGAGAACAAAAGACTATTAAGGAGAGAGAACAATAAAAGAACAGGAATTAAGTAGACAAAAGATAACAATTGACATTGTATTTAAATTTTTGAAAATCAAATTTGACTGGAATGCAGGAATCTACAAGGAAGAAGTGCAAGAAAAGAAACTGTTAGCATATAACTTACAGTTACATCTAACCATTTCAACTGTAAAATGATGAAACCTTGCTGTCAATCTAGTACTGGGCTTAAATTCATAGTCTAGGTATCATAGAGTAAAGTTCATTAGAACAATTACCATGAAAATATTCATAGAAAAGGCACAGGGATTAATTTAAGTTCAAGATGTCTAGGAGGAAAATATGGTACCATCTGAGATAAATTAAAATCCTAACTTTTTAATACTTTCCTTTCATGTTGAATAAATTGATATAATATTAATTTATTCAAAATGAAAAGAATTGTTTATTCAATCAAAACATTTCCCCTTCAGCCTCTACACATTTATTCCACTTGAGAAACAAATTGCCAATTCATTTCCTAAAGAATTCTTTATTCAAAGCAATGTCATCTTCATTGAAGACTTGTTCAATTTAATTCTGATTGGAGAAATTTTAGCCTCTAAAAAAGTGGTTCAGATGCATGAACAGAATGCTAATCCATAGGAGAAAAATGGAGTAAATAGGTAAGGTGCAAAAATCGGATCATCATCAATTGATACAATTTTAGTAACAATTTATGCAACATCTGGATGTTGTACTGTAGTTTTTCTATTCATCAAACTGAGGAGGGATTAGAAATATGCTGCTGTTTTAAGCTGGTATACATACATATATATATATATATATATATATATATATATATATATATTTCTAACACTTTGAAGGAAGTAATAATATAGTCACATTAATGCCTTACCAAACACTCACATTCTGAGGATGATAATAGTTTTGGTTCAATGCTTCAGTTTCTTATTTTTATTTTCTCCAAATACATAATCTATTTTACATCACAAGT